TTTCTTTTGTAGTTCTTGATTCTTTTGTTAGACTCAAGCCTTCCTTTGGTGAGTTTATGCCTCTTTCTGTTTGTAAACTTTGTGTGCTTTTATTTTTTCCTTGTTGGGAATGAATAGCTGGTTGGTCTAGGCTTCCAGGTTCTCTCTTTTGATTTTATATTGGAGGGGCCAGATGACTTTAGTCATGCTGCCTAAGAGTCCCAACATAGGCCCAAGTTGTGTGAGAATCAGATGTTCTCAGGGTTCCTCCTAAGGTCTGGATCCCTGTAGTTCACAGGCACTGTACAATTAGGGAGGATTGCTAAGTAGAGGTAGGATCCAGGACTCTCAGGAAGTCAGAGAATGAGACCGGTCTCAGGAATCCAGGACAAGCTAAGAAGGTGGCTGCTATAGGCAGGTTGGCGATGGGGACAGCCGGGGATGAAAACTGGTCTCAGGTATGCAAAAGCAAGTTGGGGATGGGGGCAAGCTGTGAGGGTTCTAGGGAACTAGACTGAAGAATTGGATTGGTCTGAGTGCAAAGGATCAGGAAGCAGTGAGGAATCTGGGCCAAGTGAGTAGTCCAGAGGTCTGTGGTGCCAAGAGAAGTGGGTCAGTGCCCATGCTAGAAGGAGAAAGGGGATGTTTAAAGCTAGGAGGCTGAATCAGGTTGTGGGAGTCAAGACACAGTGGGCATGGTCAAACTTACCAGGAATGGAACATGCCCTAAGGAATACCAAGCAGGTTGGGGTGGGACAGCCTGGGATGAAGGCTGGTCTCAGGTGTGCAAAGGTGAGGTGGGGTAGGGGACAGGCTTTGAGGGCTCTAGGGATCTAGACTAAAGAATTGGATTGGTCTGGGTCCAAGGGATCAGGAAGCAGTAACGAGTCTGGGCTGAGAGGGTAGTCCAGAGGCCTGGGGTGCCTAGAAAGAGGTGGGCCTTTGCCCAAGCTAGAAAGAACGAAATTACCATATTTTTATAGGCTACGAGATGACGACCAAAATATCAGGGCCCTAATGGCTGAAATCTATGATTATCACCATTATGAAACAGGAGGAGATTCTCTAAGTAATACTGAAATATGGAGAGTTAAGTGTACTTGGATATACCATTGCAAGAGAAAAGCAGAGGAACATGATAAACAACCACATAAACCATGTGAAAATAAGAAAGAAAGAGGTTTGAACATGCAATGTTGCTGAACTTGAGGTTCATGAGTCTGAGAAGAAAAGCAATGGAATCCAGCTGGGGAGGAATGCCTGGAAGGGATTCCTTTACAGATACACAGAGAGGGAAGTGCAATTGATTCTTAGTTTTAATTCAGTGAAATCTATTTTGAAATTCTGACTCACAGATCCATCAGAGAATAAAATACATTTCAGTTTAATCTCTTGAGTTTGGAAGAGGTTGTTACACTTTCATTGAAATCAGTTTTTCTTGAAGAGAGATGTCTAATTTTGACAAATTTTATTGATTTTAACCGATGTGTTTTTGATATTTATATGAATCAAACAATGTATCACTTAACAAATATTTCTTCTAAGATATATCAAGTATTTGTCACTTTATATATGGTAAAGTATGTATCAAAATTTCTTTTTAATCTTAAGTGAACATATTTTATATTAAAGATATTTTTGTTGGTATTTTATATTAAAGATTTTTTTTTCTCAAGCAATGTTCTTTTTGAATTTCTGTTAAAAATCAGTTGTTTGTTGCACTTTATTTTATTCCCAACATTCTGGAGACTGAAGCAAGAGAATCTCAAAGGTTGTGTGTGTTTTTGGGTGTGTTGGTGTATCTGTGTATGTGTGTCTGTGTCTGTGTATCTGTGTGCTTCTTTGCTTTTATAATATATATTTTTATTGAACTTTTGTGCATCATATATATTTTAATCATATTTAGACCCTCTCCCCTATCCATAACCACTTATATGCTCCCCCACACTGGATTTCACACATATGTTAAAGCCTATTGAGTAAAATCCCCCATCCACTACAGCTACACCTAAGGCTCATGGAAAATAGTGGAAAAATGTTTAGGGAGAATTTGAATGTATTTCTCAACTCTTACCAGCAAAGCTTCCTTATGCAGCAGAGGTTGATTAACACAGAAATTTACAACTAGCTAAAATGTAGAAAATAAGAGACTGTAGAATGCATGTTCCTGTATAGGACTCCTACAGTAAACCTCTGCCACCCAAGGCTCAGGGACCATTGTAGAAGAGGGGACCCAAAGACTGTGAATTATCACAAGGAAACAACTTTTCAAGGGCTGGGAACATGTTTATAAGAGCTTACAACAATGGCATGAATATGCTGAAGACCCTTGCAAACTCAAACCAGTCAAAAAACTATCATAGAACTGGGAAAATGAGTAAGAAGCCCCAAGCTTAGTTGAGGAACTATTGCCAGCTGATCGATCATTCCTGGGTGAGGGGCAATTGGCCTTCTTTAAGTGAGTGACATCAGATAGGTGGAGGATCTCAAGTTTTAGGTCACCCTGGATTACAAAGTAAAGCTCTGATGCATAAAAACTAAAAAAATAATAATAAAAAAAAATAACACTTGCTCATTTATGATCTCACACTCTGATCTATGTGTACATTTATTTTCCCATAGTTAAGTTGTTTTTCAGACATGATGTCACCAGGACACACTCAACATTACTATAGAATTAGAAGTCAGCAAAAAATAAAAAATAAAAAACATGATAATTTCCTCTACATGTCCCTATATGTCCCTTACCCTGATAGCATTACTTTTGCCTAGTTAGGTCATAAGAATTTACATAATAATTGTAAATTATATAATCTTATAAAACTATCTGGAAAATTTAAATTATAAAGACTGTAGATCATTCTGGATATAACTGATCTGGTTAACTATTGTTTTTGTGTGTATTCTGTTTGGTGATGAATGATCTAGTGATTTAAATGCTCCTTCCTTTCTTATTTCTTCAATTTATTTTTTTATTTCTTTTGGTCCCTAGCTGGCCTTGAACTCCCAGAGATGATCCTGCCTCTGCCTCCTGAGTGATGGGATTAAAGGCCTGTGCCACGACACCTGGCTTAAATGCTCTTCCTAAGGCATGACAAACAACTAGCATTACAGTTACATTCTTTTATTTGCTTTTCCTGTCTTGTTATTTGTGACATTATCTCCATTTATTTTGGTTTTTCATTTTTTATGTGCCCAATAATACACTATTTTTATAGCATGAATAAGAAACTTGTTTAAAATAGTAACAAAGAAAATATTACTTCATTTAACCTATGTAATATTTCTTCATCACTCATTATTTTATGTTTATACATTTATACATTTCTTCCTATTTTCATAAGAAAATCATGCTAGTGATGAAGTGCCTATTTGTTCTGCCTTGTACTTAGTTTATAACATTTACAATTATAGATTTAAGTTTTACACAAAAATTTAACACATGACATTCTGCTGTCAGTAGTTTGACATTATTTCTGACAAAGGTTGTGATTATTTCCTCTTTCCAATAGTTAAGTTTTTCTCATGTTTAATATTACTAAACATGTGTATGTATGTAACTCAGTGATAGCATTTGTTTCTTATGCACAAAGCTCTTGGTTTGAATACTAGCACACAGAGATAAACACATATGTAGACATACACACACATTTTCTAAACAATATGCGATATAAACTTTGAAACTTCAATATAAGGGTTAAATTTCCCCTCAGCTGATTTTCTTCACTGACCTTCATTAAATAAATGGATACCAAAGAACACATCTGCTTGATATGTACAGAGGAATCACAGAACCCTGTGTTCTTTCTTAATTAAGTGTTTTGTAACAGCCCTTCCTAACAAGAGTCAAAGACCTAGGTTTTCTCTCAGGAGCTGTTCAAAAATACATTCAGAATATTCACAACAAGGTCATGCAGAGAAGCTTCTAACCTAGACGCCATGACCTTCCTGATGATTATCTTATTAAACTTGACTATGAATTCCACTAGATTACTTTTCTTCCTCAGAGTCAGATAAGTAAATCTATTTGGATTTATGAAAATGCTGTGGAGATGTGCAAACACTGAGAGCTGCCATCCTGTCAGTAGTGAGAGCAACCTCAGGAAAATAGAAGGTTCTCAATAGCCAAAGTATGCTGAAGGTTTGTTTTAGTACGCAACAATTAGAAGATGCCTTTTGTATCCAATCTTGCAAATGTTGCACCAATTTACCCATACTTCCTCTGCTTATATTTGTTGTGTAAAAAAGTCTTATTTCTTTGCTATGATGAGAGAGGCCTTTTTTCCTTATCTTTCAAATGGCAAAAGAGTAAATATTTGTCACACTCTTTCTAATCGAAGTGCTTTACAACATTAGTCTAATTATTAACACCCTTAGGTTTTTAACAGAAAATATTTTGTCTAATTAATTTCATAGAATATAGCATGAGAAATTTTAAGATAAATCTTAATTTTGCAAGTAAAAAGATAAGAAATGTATGAATAATTTTTCTTCTGGCTTGACTGCTGTTTTAATCAGGTAGCTGGTGTTTCCTTGAGATAGAGGGAGGAAGTAGGGTACAGGTTGGTGGCACAGGCCTTTGTTTTCATCATTCTGAAGGCAGAGGCAGGCAGGTTTCTTTAAGATGGAAGCTGGGTTGGCCTACAGAGCAAATTCCAGGTCAGCTGGGGCTTCAGGGAGATGCTGTCTCTGCAAACAAACAAAAAGAGTAAGTAAGCCAGTTAAATACTAATAAAAGCTCATCTATCTCAATGTCAGCTGTCAATCAAGGAGATTGTTATGGGAACACTATGACTTTCTGGTAGTTTTATGAGAGCATTTAAATAAATGATGCTTGAATGGAAATTTACAGCAATGCAATCACATCATTGCTGAGCTACAAAATACAATTAAGTAGCTTAAATGGAAGATAAATTGTGTTTTATTTCATTTTTCCCAGTTGCAAAAGTTGTAACCTGTCTATACCAATTATGTGAGATAATGTTACTTTTTAAAATGTCATTTTTTGTTTTGTTTTCTAGGTTTTAGGATTATAAAGGATACTTAAGATTGTAAAAGATTATTAAGAAAAACACATATTTTATATGCATCATCGTATTTCCTGTGAAGAATAATAGTTAAAAACATAATAGAATGGATTGCTGCTTCCTCAAACTCTGGATGCTGGTAATTCTTCTCCTCTGGCCTTGCCTTGCGCTTGCAGAAAACTTGAAAGCACAGAAGCCTCAGTCAGCAGCAGCATCTCCTGGAAGAGTTAAGCGTGGCTGGGTATGGAACCAATTTGTTGTACCAGAGGAAATGGAACCTAATCAACATGTCGGACGGGTACTTATTTTCCGAAAGAGATACAGTAAATGATTTTATAACTATGTGATATGAATGAGTTAGGAAAGTTGAAATGTTTGATGATTTCTACGATTTTTAAGGGAATCATTTAGAAAGAATGAAACACCAGCATAATACTTAATTTACATTTTCAAGCAACAAATAAAAATTGTGAAGAAGAAATGTTCTTCCCCCTCCTTTTGTTTTTTGTTTTTTTTTTTTTTTTTTTTTTTTCTTTTTGACAAGGTTTTCCTGTATCCCCAGCTGGTCTGGATCTCACAGAGCTCCATTTGCTGCTTCCTTGGAATGCTGAGATTGAAGGAGTGAACCATGAAGCATAGTTTATGTTCTGGGTTTCAAATTTCACTTTCTAATGTCCTCATCAGCTTCTAGATACTAATTGTGTTATTTTTGGAAAAGGATCAAAGCAGCTACACAGAGTCAATACCGTTTACCAACATATTTAGCCTGATTTTCTATGCTAAGTAGCTATTGATTTACCTCTCATTCATTTTTAAGGAAGCAGATTGACATCATCTCCTGCACCAGCTCAGGAACTTCAGCTGCCTCCACGTGTCATTTGAGTAGTGAAGTGGAAGTACAAAGAACAACACTTTTCAACGTTTAGGAGATTATATTTTAAGAAAATGTCTTTAAATTAGACAGAGCCTCCCTACTTTATATTTTTATTTTCCATTGTTATTTCATTTTCTTTAAACACAAGTAATTACAATAGCGCATCCTTTTCTTAAGTCTCTCTGTAGATGAATATACCAAAGTAAGTTCAACTGCTAATTAACTGGTAATAAAATTTAATTAGACCCAAAGGGTGAAGCCTTCAAAATTCATTAACTGGCTTTGCTCAGTCAAGTCAGGTGACCTGAAATGTCGGCTACCCAGAGTCCATGGAAATTCTACCTAACATATCAGGAAGCAGTATGCAAATGAATTCATCCACAGGCTTAGGTTGGGGTGAAAAACATTTCCATGTGGGCATGTGTGTGCTACTACAAATATTTTTCTATTTTTCCAACATGTCTAGGGAAATTTCCTACATGATTATCATGCATAAGTGAATGGTTACACTTATTACTCTTTCTTTTTTTATTTAATTTTTTATGCATGAGGATTTTCCTTAACACATGTGTGTATACCATGTGCCTGCCTTGTGTCTACCAAGGTCAAAAACTAGCATAAGATTCCCTGACATTTGTCTGGAGTTATAAACTGTTGAGATCTGCAACGTGGGTGCTGGGAACTGAACCTAGGTCATCTACAAGAGCAGCAAGTGCTCTTAACTGCTGAGCCATATTTTCAGTCTTTGTTCTTTTTGCCTTACAAAATTATACATAAAGCCATTTCGCAGATTTCCCTTCTAAACTATTTCACATGGCTTCTAGAACATGAAAGTATTTATTTGTTTGTTTTGAGACAGGGACTCCTTGTATCCCCAGCTGGCCTGGAACTTGCTGTGTGGGTCAAGGTGGCTTAGATCTCATAGAGATCTGCCTGCCTCTGTCCCCAAAAGATTAGGATTAATAGTGACATAATAGATTTTAGGTATTTATAATTAAACAACTAATAAAGGGAAAATGTAGTTGATCTGAAAACATCAGTTCCATGAATGATATATTTTCTAAAGGGGGTTAAATTGTTAAATGTAATGAAGTAAAAATTAGCCATTGAAGTAAAAATTACCAGTTTGATAGTTCTTACCTATCTGAGAAAACAAATTTAGAAATATAAGAAATTTAATAAAATATACTAGTGTCTAGTAGGTATGAATTTGCTTGATATGTTTTGTGACATTATAAAGCAAACAAATAACAAAGACAACATTTTGGAGGTTTTATTATGCTTAATCTGGTCCTTCAAAATATTCAGCTCAGAGCTGGAGAGATGGCTCAGCAGTTAAGAGCACTGGTTGCTCTTACAGAGGAGCAGGGTTCAATTCCCAGCACCCACATGGCAGATAACAACTGTCTGTAACTCCAGTTCCAAGGGATGCAATGACTTCTTCTGAAAACTTCTGACCTCTGTGGGCAATGCATGACATGTGTCACTTACATACATGCAGGCAATACACATATACACATAAAATAAAAATAAATAAATCATTTCTAAAAATACTAAGCTCATTGATCTTTGGAAATTTATGCCATAAATATATTTGGAAAGAATTCCTTAATTTCTAAATTTAACTTATCTTAAATCTGTCATTGAATAAATCTCAAATTATGTCAAAATATTATCATATAAAAAGATGGGCCTTTTTTTCATATTTGAAACATTAATTGGAATATAACTTTACTGTCATACATTTCTTAACATTGTGTCATAGTAAATTTTATTCACTTTATAAACAGTTAACTGTTAAGTTAAATAGTTTTAGTTGGTCCAGAGTAATTACTTGCAACTTGAGCAATTTTTATGAATTGGTTTAATGTTGTGCTTTTTGGTTAACCGTACTTTCACTGGAGTCTTACACCGAAAAGGAACATGTTCACAAATGGTGGCTTGAGATACGAGCAAGGTCAATCACAAAGCCATCCCTGTGTTAAAATGTATCCATATAAAATAACTTGCAAATGGGAAGCCACACTGCCAATTTAACTATCCAAAAGACACTTTCATTTTTCATACACTGTTCTAAACCTCATTTATTTATTTTATGTGTATGAGTGCTTTGATTGAATGAATGTAAGTGCTCCCATTTCATGCATTGCTCACAGAGGCCAGAAGTGGTAATGAAGCCCTAAGAACTAGAGTTCTGGACATTTGTTATTGACCATCTAGATGCTGGGAACTGAACCCATGTCCTCTGGAAGAGCAACCAATGCTCTTAAACACTGAGCTATCTGTCCAGCTGTGCATTTTTACTTATACATTTTAAATTCTAAATTCATCAGAATTATGAATCATGAAATATTTGTTCTTTCCAGATGATAGTATAAACACAAGAAGAAATATATATTTGAGAACTTTGTACAATAAGATGCAGAGAGTTTATATTACTTAGAGGAATTTCTAAATTTTAAGGGTTTAATTTTTTTCTTTGTTTGTTTTAATAAAGGCCTTTATGTCAGGTTGATCTTGGAAGTAATATGTAGCTGAGGATGATCTTGAACTGCTACTGTTGCCTTTTATAGTGCTGGAATCAGAGGACTGCACCTCCATGCTCATTTTTGTGGTACTTAGAATCAAACTCATACATACTAGGCAAGCACTCCAACACATAAGCTGCATCCCTAGTCCCTTGAAGTATAAATCACTGTAATATAGTCCTCAGGGGAAGATGTGGGATTGTACAGTCTGTTGTCTAAGACGTAAACCTACACAAAATCCATGTTACTCATTGAATGTTTTAAGATTTTTCAGTTTTCTCATTTCCATAGAAAGGACTGATTCTGATTTGTGAGATGGCTCAGGAGGTAAAGGTACACATTGTCAAGTTGATTCCTAGGACTCACATGCTGGAAAGAGATAACCAGCTCCCACATTGTGCCCTCTGATGACTCACATACAGGCATCACACACACACACACACACACACACACACGCACACACACACATACACAAAAGACAAACACATTTTAAAAAAATAAGTGCTACACCAGGTGTGGTGGTATATATTGTTAATACCAGCACTTTGGGGGCAGAAGCATGTGAATCTCTGTGAGTTCGAGGCCAGCCTGTTCTACATAGTGAGTTCCAGTTGGGCTGGAGCTACAGAGATACTGTCAAACAAAACAAAACAAACAATAACAACAACAAAAGGTGTTTTTCTCGAGGTTCCATGTCTCATTTTCAAAAGGAAATAACGACTATTTTAGAATTCTTACCTAGGGAAATATTTTTAAGTCCTGAAGTTAAATAAAAAGTTGCTGAGACAAATAAAAAAAGAAAAAAAAAAAAAAAAGGAAAAAGTGCTGATGAGCATTATCTCATGGTGTGTCATTATTTGTAAAAATATAAGGCAGTTTGTAGATTTCAGTGCAGGCAATAAATACATTGTTGAGATTATTATTTTCCCATTGGATTCCTGAAGTCAATTAAAATATTTTCATATTTCTTGTGCACATTCACACAATACAGAAAATTTGTATTGAAAATTTATGTTTCCCAACAATATATAGATCTCCAAGATTACTGACTAAACACATACTCATAAAAATCAATACTGGATGTACATAATTAATATGAGACTTTAAAATTTCAACATTTTAATCAGAATTATTTATTTATGACAATAAAATTGTGATAGTTTTTTTTATTGAAAATTAGGAAATCTGTCCTCTGCCTAATGTAGATGTTAATTTTTATGTTGATATTTTTAACTCAGTATGATGTAGGAATATGTGGATTCATTCCTTTGGAAATGATTGAATCATAAATAGCATTTTGACATTATTAGTGTGTCTGCAATCTTCTTGTCTGTCTTTTCACTTGCAGTTAAGATCTGATTTAGATGATGGAAATAGCTCTTTCCAGTACAAGCTGTTGGAAACTGGAGGTGGAGCTGGAAGCTTCAGCATCGATGAACGAACAGGTGACATATTTACCACTCAGAAACTTGATAGAGAGAAACAGTCACTCTACATCCTGAGAGCCCAGGTAATAGACACCATCACTGGAAAGGCTGTGGAACCTGAGTCTGAGTTTGTCATCAGAGTTTCGGATATCAATGACAGTGAACCAAAATTCCTAGATGAACCTTATGAGGCCGTTGTACCTGAGATGTCTCCAGAAGGTATTACATATTAATTTACATCAGTGTTTTATTAACAATGAAAAGAGATTTAAAAATTTGAGCATGTTTTGGTATTGCATTTCTTTAAATTCTATAGCTCTTTAGTATATCCTCCTTCTTCAAACCTGTTTCAGTTAAATATTTGCTAAATCAGACAATATAATAACATTTTATAATGTGCAATTAGAGTTTAATAAATTATGTTATTAAAATTACATCACAGTCTTGAAAATGATAAAGAAAGAAAGCTCCAATGTGTTTGAACGATTACAGCTTCTGGAAGAAGTGTATGAAGAAATAGGGAAAAGGAATTTGTAAGAGCAAAGGTACTGTGGCTCATCGAAGCCATGGGCGGCACAGAACAGAACAAAGGAAAGTGGTTGAACTTTTACATGCAGCTGTAGTTGTTTCAAGTTTTCAATTTATTTTTTTCGAGTCTTAAACTTAATGATTTAAAACAGGTGATTTCAGTAGGAAAAAATAATGAAATATCTTGGAGATCATAAATAGTTCATAATTAGGAGAAGTTATGGTTATGCAAAGTTTGGTCATTAAGTCAGCCAAAAAAACCGAAAAACAGTATATATAGTAGAATTTCATTTAAAAGTCTGCTTAACTGTGACGAATAAATGAATCAGCAACAGTTATTTAAATGACGCTAGCCCATTTTGAAACTGCTTTATGAAAAATTGGAATCATACAATTGTAAAATAAATATCTCAATTTATATTTTTCCTGATTTTTCAATTTTTAACAACCCAGGTAGGAATTAAAGATGATATTCTACACTGTTTAGAAGATAAGTACTTCACCACAACATAGTGTGCATTAAAATATAAAAAAAACTCTTAGATTACACAAAAGTGATAACCACGCAAATGAAAGAATAGCTTTTTTGCTTTCCTGACACTATTTTATCTTTTGTTCCTCCTCCACCAGTGCCTTTTTCTGTTCTCCTATTCTGTATTCTTTCTTCTTTGGCCTCTTCCTCATTTATTCAGCATGTATCATACGCCTAACATCTAGAGTCTTTTTGTAAAAGTCAAAATTGAATGATAAAGGACATATGGGAGTTAATTTGTAGAATGGAATTTATATTTCAGTCAAATACACAAAAAGTTTACTAATTTTAATTGATATATGGCTATATAAAATAATTTTTATTAAAAAAGAATATATTAGGGCTGGAGAGAAGAATCAGCACTTAAGAGCACTGGCTGTATTTGCAGAAGATCCAGGTTTGAATCCCATCACACACAAGGCGTCTAACAACTGTGTGTAACTCCAGTTCCATGGTATTCAACAGCCTCTTCTGGCTTCTGTGGGCACTGCATCACACACAAGGCGTCTAACAACTGTGTGTAACTCCAGTTCCATGGTATTCAACAGCCTCTTCTGGCTTCTGTGGGCACTGCATAACACGGGTAGACTTACATACATGAAGGCAAAATAGCAATTCACATAAAATAAAAACAAATCAAAAACATTAATAATATATGAGTATCTAAGGAGTTGGCTCTTTGGGTAAAAGTACTTGCCACACAAGGCAGATGATTTGAGTTTGCATTTCTGGAGCCCATGTTAAAAATAAAATACAGATGCTGTAGATACACATCTGTACTCCTAGAACTCCTACAACAAGATTGGACATAGAGACAGGAAGCTGGAGAATTATTTATATATTTGGGGGTCAGCTTGCTTGAAGAAATGGTAGCAAGCACCAGAAAAACTTGGTCTCAATGAGGAAGTGAGAAACAATTCCTGAAATATAATACCTTATTCATATGAAATTATTCCATAAAATAACTTTTTGAAACATTATAACAGTGATGTAACTGTTGTCAAAATAGTCTTGAAAAAAGTGTGTCATGAAACCTGGGGCAATGCAATGGGGTCATTTTTATCAGTGAAGCATGATATAAAAACAAGATCTGGGAAAAGTTACAAAACTTTACATAGATAAAAGGAGACAACAAACAGCTATTTTACAGAATTAGTGAGCCACAGGCAATTATTTTTGCTTACATTATAGTTTTATAGCACGGCTCATAAAAATGTTTGGTTTATGCAGTATTTGGCTATAAATATTTCTTTGCTCAGTGCAGTTTGAAGTGCGTTTGTAAAATATTGAGTCATTTTGCCTAACTCAGTATGTCCTGTGGGAGTGTCAATCAGAGTTCAGGTTTAGTATGGTAAAACAATAGAATCAATGAGCATTTTTAAACCTTCCACAGAAGGAAAGGTTGAGAAAATTGATAGTCAGTGGTTATTCCAGTGTCTACTACAGAAATAGGGGATAGTCACACTACTTTTCCAACCTTTTTTTTCGTTCTGCAACAAAAATGTATTTTTGTTAACTTTTAAGAAATGAATGAACTAATAAAGTTATATGTGACTCATTTGTTTCTCTCGGTGTTTGATGACTGAATGTTGTGATTCTTGTCTGTAAATACTTCCTTAATTCTTCATCTCATCTTTATATTCATTATTAATTCATGGTTTTTGATCTCAAATTTCCTGAGAAATATGATAAGTTGCCTTTCTTCCCTTTTCCCTCTTCATTTCATTTAAGAACAAGCCACTGCCAAAGCTTTGTTTGTCTTTCTTAAATATGTTTTATTGATTTGGAATCAATGACCAATTATATTATTTGCATCTGTACCTTGAACTTCAAATTTGGCTTAAGATACTGAAGCAAATTCATATTTGAATATATTACCAGGAGAAAAAATTGCAAAATGTTTTTTGGTGGACTCTATTTAGTTAATTATTTATTTTTTATTCACCAAAATATTGTATATATTTTGAAGCTTTAATGTGTTGCTTTTATTCTTGTATTGACTTTGTGTATTAAACACACATTTTTTACATATAATGCATTTTTCCTTGATTGCATTTATATTTGAAATGCGTTTGCTTTGAAACATGAACTCTCAAGTGGAATTGAAATAAAAAAATTACATTTTTCCCATTTGCCACTCTGGATTACAAAGTTATTTTCTTTGCACTACATGAAAATACAAAATGTATAGATTCAAAAATGCAGAATGCCTGAGGTTTGTGATGATTGAATAAATGAAGAGATACATGTATGTATGTAAATGCTACATATCCTGAGAGCAATTTGGGTGATAACCATGCTTAATGTGTAAAGCAGGATGACTCCAGGTGCATGTGATGCAAGGGATTATGGATCAGCAGTGCATGCTCATTCATCATTCTGAAACCTTTCAGAGCAGAAGCTGAACATTTATTTGTATGTCTTCCATTGTACCCAATGAATGACCTGTTAAATCATGGTGTGTCCTTTTAATGATGGTTGCTAGTTTTCACATAAAATCTTATCATGTCAAAGAGTGGAACAACATTTAAAATTAAAGTTCTAATGCTGTTGCATGAGCAGCAACCCTCTTTCTTTAGTGTACTTAGTTAATAGCACACAGAAAAACATGAAAGTTCCTCTTACTATTACCCTCATTTGATCATAAATTGCAAACTCAGGTATGATGTTTTCCACAAATCATCAAAAAGTATTGATTTAATAAAATAGGTCATCATCACATTATGTGAACAACAGAAAATTCATAGGTAAACATTTATAATTTCGATGCTGTGAATAAAACTTGGTGTTGCAACCCTATGATCATTATGTATGTATATATGTAAAGAGAAAAAATTAAATCCGAGTCCCTTAAAATTTGCTTTGTACATGTTTATTCTTGTAGAAAAGATGAGTAGCAATAGTAGTTTATTTATCACCATTTTTTGAGCTTAGCAAAGTAAATATTATAAAACCAATTTTTCATAGCAAGAGTATGTAAACTGCATCCTTTTCAGCATTATCAAGCATCTGCAAGCACTTATATTTTTTCTTATCATTTATTTATTATAAAGAATGACATGATTAATGAGTGAGGCACTTACCTTATTCAATAAGGAAGAATACTATAGCATTTTAGGTCTTAAATGCAAATGAAAAAAATCATCATGAAGTCTGATATTATTAAGGAAAAATCTTTAATCACATGGTTTTTTATGTAGAAATTCACACTAAATTTCTTAATGTTTAGCATTAATATAATACAAGTAAATCATAATGCAGTAATATTTCAAAATAGAGTAAATTCAAATTCAAAATATGTACCAATGTAAAGAATTATAATCACCTCTCAGAAAATAAAATCTGATATTTCAAAATGCACCACAGTTAAAATTTAGACTCTAAGAATCACAAAACTTTAAACACATGAATTCAAATAAGTGAGTTTGGGTTAGTTGCTCTTATTCTTTCTGAATATATCATTTGTTTCTTTTTATTCTATTAATTTTGTTAATTTTAGGGCATTTCACATAATACATCTTAATCATATTTAAACCCGTACCTTAACTGCATCTTGCATCTACCATAGCCCCCCCCACCTGACTGGATTTGATACCTTTGTCACATATGTTAAGGCCTATCTATTGAGTCAGGTTAGTGTCCCCAAATGTCTTTTGATGTGAGTTCATTGACCAGAAACTTGTGAACCTATCTAATGTAACTTCTGGCTGCCAATAGTTCCTATTCCTCTTGGCACTATTGACTAAGGTTGGAATTTCTTACCCGTTTCTCCAATTCGATGCTTTTTTTTTTTTTTTTTTTTTTCTGATTTGAGTTTGCATGGATCTTATGCATGCTGTCACCACTGCTGTGAGTTCAAATGTATAACTGACAAATTGTTTGCAAAACTGTTTCCTTCTGGTCATCCACTTCTCCTACCCTTCTTACACAATGGTCGCTGAGCCTTGGGTGACAGAGATTTAATATAGGAATCCTAGCCAGGGATAGGTACTCTGCAATCTTATTCTCCACATTTGGGATAGTTGTGGCTTTCTGTGTTAGTCACCATCTGTTGCATAAGGTTCCCTGAGCCTTAAATGTTGAGGTTGCAATGTAGATGTGTCACTAGGACTGGGCATCTCAGTGATATTTATTCTCTCTGTGTGACTATTTGTGGAGC